CATAAAAATGATATATTTAAAGATTCTTACTACCAATGGAAAGTGAATTTCTAAATTTAATAAAATACAATTCAAAAAACATCTCACTTCTCATAAAAATCTATGATCCCAATATTTTCACTTGATTGATCGTTTCGGTATTCAAAAAGTCGTCAAGTACGCCCACACTTTAAACACGTGCAATTACGACAATAGAAATTTGCACAAACCGATGTACCATTTCATTTCCTACTTTTCAATTGATTTATCTATTGTTGTTGGAACAATGCAAAATTTAATTTTTTGTGGTTTTGCTTCATTCAAATGAAAACGAAATGAAATTCATTCAAATTGATTCTCATTCATCTTAATTTATTTCCGGTGCGATTTATTTTAGCATTTGGACAAAAGATCTTCGGTTTCCATTTTCATCCAACGGGGAGGGTGAACAAGTGTGCCACAGAGTATTGAGGTTCGGTTCAAATGGTATCCTAGCATTGTTGTTGCCAGACCATTGTCTTTGCGCGTTTTACTTTTTTCTTTTGGGTAGAAACAATGATATTTCGAAGCTCGTATGTCTGTCTGCCTGTCGTATTCTTTAAGCAACCGACACTTGTTGTTCTTTCTTTTCTTTTTCGTTCTTTTACTTGGATTCTTTAAGTTCTCGATTTAATTGTTGGATTTTGTAGTTTTTGTTCATTAACATCCTGTGGTCGTCAATTTCATTATTCGAGCGGAAGTAGATTTGCTACCTCGCGTTTAATGTTCTGCTTTGTGAATTGAATTTGCATAGATTTCACTTTCACAAAAAACAAATATAACAAAAGAGAAGAGAAGCCAAAGAACCTTTGACAGGTTGTACCTCCTTGTACTCAAAACTAATGTTGCACGGAAAGAGGCGACAGCGTTTATTGTAGGTATTTGTAAAAAGTTTTTATAGGGTCATTTAAATTTTGAATTTTTAAATTTGAAATTTTGATTTATTCATAATAAATATTTAAATATTCATTTATTAAAATCATGCTTATTTTTATCTCTATCTACAAAAATAGTAGCGTACAAATAAATTTACTTCTGAATGCTTTATTGTTTTTTTCCAAAATGAATCGCGGCTATTTAAAAAAAGTCTAGGACCTCCTAAAGAAAAAATATTTGATTTTCCTTTAATAACTGTTAAGGTTTTCTAGAAATTTTCAAGAACTTCCTCTAAAAAATGTTGTGTATCAAGAATTTTTCTTTGAACAAAAATCGTAGTTTTTTGACAATTTTTTAAAGGATCTGCGACTTAATATCGCGGATTCTTAAAACGAAAACTCCAGCAATTTTCAGAAAATCGTCAATTATTTAAACAAAATATGTTTGAGGACCTCATGACCAAAAAGTTTTACTTTTTTTTTCAAATAATAACAAAAAAGGTGGTTTGGTTATTGAAATTGAGAATTTTTAATGAAAATAGTTGCAAGGTCTTCCAGATCAAAAATTGTTGATTTTTTATGAAAATATATTCAGGTTCTAGATCAAAATAGTGAATATGTGTGTGTGTGTGAAATATCGTGGAAGGACAACTAGGTCAAAAATCGTGGATTTTTATCGGAAAATAGGACCTCCTTCAAGTACCACTTGACGAGTACTACAATCTGTGACAGAAAATTACCAATGCAGGTCTAGGCCTTCGTATAGCCTCCCTATATTCGGTATTTTGTTGATTTTACCTACATTATAATGGACACTATATCTTGTGACATAAAATTATCTAAGCAGGTCCACGTCTTCGTATAGCCCCCTAGATCGATACCTCCCTATATTCGGTATTTTGATAGTATTTGCTATATTATTCACCGGAATTATTTCAAACTTCGTATTTGCACTTCATAACGAGTAATACAACCTGTGACAGAAATCCAGGTCTTCGTATAGGCCCTATATATCGGTACCTCCCTATATTCGACATTTTGATGATTTAAACTAAATTATTCACCGTAATTGTTTAAAATTTATTATTTAAACTTCCTTTTGGGTGCTGCAGTCTATGACAAAAAATTGTCTATGCAGACACAGGTCTTCGTTCTTCGGTTTTCGATATTTTGATGTTTTGGCGACATTATTCACCAAAATTGTTTGAAATTTCGTATTTGAATACTATAATGGCTATGACAAAATCAGAATTGTTCAGGGATTTTTTTAGTTTGAAAATTTCCAAATTCTTTCCATTTGGTGGAGGGTTTTTAAAGTTCGGCCGCGTCGAACTTTCTATACCCTACACCACAAGATGTTCAGGGTATTATGTCTTTGTCCATTTGTTTGTAACAGGCAAAAGGAAACGAGATAGACCCATAGTTCCTTTTTATGATCTGCATAGAATCACATTCTGAGTCGATTTAGCATGTCCGTCTGTCCATGTATTTTTGTAAACAATGTACACGTGGCATTTATTTCTCGATCCAGATAACATTTTGCACAAATTATTTGTTTGACCCAAGGACGAACCTGATCGAAATTGGAGATAATCGTTCAAAATTTAGATATATATCACATATATATCTTCGTCCGGTTTGTTTTTTTTTTTGGTGCACCAAACGTGTAATATCAGCCGAAATAGTATGGAATTTTACATATACAACCAGATTGGGCCTGAAAATAAGTATGCCAAATTTGATTGAAACCGGTTTAGATATAGCTATAGCTCTCATATATTTTGTCATCCGATTTATTATTTTTGTCCTCCGCAGCAGTAATATGCACCCGGTAATAACGATATTTGGGGAAATATAATAAATACAACTCAGAAATACTCTTGCTTAATTTTATCGAGATCGGTTCAGATTTGGATATAGTTTCCATATATATCTTCGTCCGATTTGCCTTTTATTGTGCACCAAACGTGTAATATTGGCCCAAATCAAATGGAATTTGGCACATACGACCAAATTGAGTGTAGAAACAAGTATGTAAAATTTGGTGGAAATCGGTTCAGATATAGCTATACATCCCATATATATTTATACCCTACACCACATAGTGGTATGGGTATTATGTCTTTGAGCATTTGTTTGCAACGATGAGAAGGAAACGAGATAGACCCTTAGTTCCTTTGGTGATCAGCAAAGAATCACATTTTGAGTCGATTTATGCATGTCCGTCCGTCTGTCCATGTATGTTTGGAAACAAAATGCTGGTCGCATTTATTATTCGATTGAGATGAAATTTTCTAAATAACATTGGTTTGGCTCAAGAACGAACCCTATTGAAATTGGTGAAAATCGGTCCTAATTTAGATATAGTTAACATATATATCTTCATCCGATTGTAGGTTTCTTGTGCACCAAATGGCTAATATCAGTCCAAATGGTGTGAATTTTGGCATTTCCGATCGAATTCAGTCTAGAAATAAGTGCTTTAAATTTGGTGGTTCAGATTTGGATATAGCTCCCATATAAAACTTCGGGCGATTTGGGGTTAATTGAGCACCAAATGGCCAATATCATCCGAAATATCAGTCTGAAGTTTGGCACATTTGGCACATCAAAAATCGGTTCAAATATAGCTATATACCCCATATATATATGTTTCATCCGATTTGGTGTTTAAGTCCCTCAAATTCGTAAAATGCACGATAGAAGAATAATATTTGGTATAAGATATCAGATACAGCCAAGAAATAGCTGTTTGCAATTTTACTGTTTTTTAATCCGATTTGTTGAATTTGCCCTGCACAGCCGTAATATGGACATCGTAGTAACGATACTTGGGGAAATATACCAGAAAAACACCTTTGCCAAATTTTATCGAGATCAGTTCGGATTTGGATATAGCTCCTACATTTATCTTTATCCGATTTCAAGTTAATTGTGCACCAAATGGGTAATACAAACCCGAATTGAAAAGACAGTTTTAGTAGAAATCGATGCAGAGGAGGATATTCCTCTCATAAATTAGTTCCTTTGGACTTTTAATTATAACTATAATCATAGTTGGAATGATTTAATTCTCACACATTCCCTATAAAAACTTTTATTTCTTGTGTGAAGTTCTACTAAATATGTGAAGTGGTGTATGGTATCATAAAGTCAGCCCGCCCGACTTTAAGACTTTTTTTACTGGTATAATTTTTTTTTCTACAACCTTCTTGTATTCTCTCAAATCTAAGAAATGAAGTTCCTTTCCATCCAATATAAAATTCTATATACACCCAAAGCTGAATTCATATAGAATGACTCAAAAGGTTAACGATTCAAAATATATAAAGGTTCCAATGTCGATCTTTTCAAAAAATACATATGCTTTCAGAAAATATCCAAATCATGCAATTTCGGATGAATAATAAAAAATTATCGAAAGGTGCCTTCTTTCTTCAAATGGTACCTACTGCTTATCCAAAAAGAGCTTCCTTCTGCTTGTTTTTATAGACTTTCTTCTTTGCGGCAATTTCAGTTTCGGAAGATTAGTCTGAAGAAAACGTTAAGAATATTGCAGATGAGAGGTGATTATTTTTTAATTTCAATTTTTTCCTTTTACTTTTTTTAGTATTATTTCATATGAATACAGTTTAGGTCATTTCCCACGTAAGTTGCAATGTATAATAATGAATTGAATTCAATTAAATTTCCCACGAAAAACTTCTCATGTTGTTGTTTTTATGGCACCAGTCCACTCGACGGCTGATGTAAATATTGTCGTTGGATTCAAAATAACGTCATCGTTTTCATATCTCAATACTATTCATATTGGCAAAAAAAGAAAAAAAAACTATGCAAATATAATTCAATAAAGGAAAATACTACTTATCACCATTACGAACGAAAAACGCATGTCTGCTACAAAAACAATCACAAAATAAACGATTGGGTAATGAAATCAAAAAAACGCATATTCCGTATTGTAAAATGTCGTGGACAAATGTCCATTTGTAAATGAGGTGCAAGAAAATATTAATTCACTCAATATTTTTCGAATTGCATATTCATCGAAAATATAGTTTTCATGTAATCCAGTGGTCTGACCAGAACCTTATAATAACACGAACTAAGGCTGCCATGGACAGTTCCACTTGAGCCGTGCAACAACAGAGGTTTACAACGAAACCAAGTGTGTTATATCGGGATAAGAAATTTCATATAACAACAGCAACAAGGATACAAATTACCAAAGAGGAAGGGAAAAAATTTAAAACAATTGTGAATTAGTTTAGTGAACTAAAAATATGGAAACACTACAACAGGAAAGTTCTCAGCTTCCTTTGGGAGCTGCCACCAGTTCGGCTGGCACCTGGCTGAGCTTGGTCTTCGGAGTGGGTGTTATTGCCATACTCTATGAATACTATCGCCGCAATACTCGTGCCTACCAATTGATGGATACCATTCCGACTCCCAAACAAATGCCCCTCATCGGCAATGGCCACATGGCATTTGGCCAAAATAATCATCAGATTTTGAAGCTGATAAGCCAGGTCTTCAAGGATTGTGGTGAAACTGTGCGAATCTTATTGGGTCACATGAATATTGTGTTCCTTACGAATCCAGCCGATTTGGAAATCTTCTTAAATGGCTATAAACATTTGGAGAAATCAGTGGAATATCGTTACTTCCAGCCCTGGTTTGGAAATGGTCTCTTGATCTCAAAAGGCCATCACTGGCGTCATCATCGCAAGATGATTGCCCCCACATTCCATCAAAGCATTCTGAAGAGTTTTGTGCCCACATTTGTCAAACACTCCAAGGCGGTGTCGGGACGTTTCGCCTCAAAGGTGGGCCAAGAGTTCGATTGCCACAAATACATGTCGGAGACCACTGTTGATATTCTGCTGACCACTGCCATGGGCTGTAAACTTCAACCTGAAACCGAGAAGAGTGCCGAATATGCCCAGGCTGTAATGGACATGTGTGACATCATCCATAATCGCCAGCTGAAATTGTTCTATCGTCTCGATTCCACCTATAGTTTTACCAAGCTACGTGAGCGTGACAATAAACTGATGAACGTCATCCTGAGCATGACACGCAAAGTTGTGGAGGACCGTAAGAAGAACTTTAATGCCGAGGAACGTGGTATTGTTGATCGTACCGCCGAAGATGCTAAGCTCAAGGCTAAGGCGGCCAAGAAGGAAGGTCTGCGCGATGATCTGGATGATATCGATGAAAATGACATTGGCGAGAAGAGACGTTTGGCTTTGTTGGATGCCATGATGGAAATGGAAAAGAATCCCGATATTAAGTGGACCGATAAGGATGTGATGGATGAAGTCAATACAATTATGTTTGAGGTAAGATGGTGGGAGAGGATTTATAATATATTTTCAAGAACCTAAGAACTAAGACTTTGGAGAACATAATTTCAAGGACATTCTGGCTAAAAATCATGAATTTTTAAAGAATTCTTTTCAATATCGGCTTGAATTTTCCGAGCATACATCTTTAAGAAAATATATTCAGACACCTGTTCATTTGTTAAGAATATATTTTTAAGCACCTTTTCAAGGACCCCCAGAAGATAAAGTGAGGATTTTTTAACATATTTTCAAGGACATCTTGAATCAAAAATCGTGTTTTTTTCAAAAGCCTTATTCAAGGACGATATGACCAAAAAAGTGGATTTTTCCGAAGATAGTCAAAAAAATATTTTCAAAAACCTTTTGACAAAAAATTGTGTAGGAATATATTTTCAAGGATCTCCAGACCGTAAGACGGGGATTTTTTTCTCAACTTCAGGGATCTCTTGAACCAAAAAATGGTGGATTTTTTCAGTACTCTTGTTCAAGGAAAATATAAACAACAAAAGTAGATTCTTCCAAACAATTTTTTTTTGGAAATTTTTTCAAGGACCCCTTTGACAAAAAATTGTTGATTTTTTAGAAAATATTTTCAAGGACCACCATACAATAAAGCTAAGCTTTTTCCTGAAAATATTTCCGAGGGTCTCTTGAATGAATAACATTTGATTTAAACGATCTCCGAATTTCAACGACCTCCTGAGTAAAAATTGTGATTTTCTGGGATTTTTTTCAAAAAAAAAAAAAAAAAAAAAAAAAAAAAAAAAAATTTTAAACGCGTTTCAAAATAGTTTTTTCAAGGGCTTCCTGACTAAAGGTCTCGGAAAAAATGTCGTTTTTGTAATAAAATAATTCAGGAAATTCCAAATCAGAAATTGTGTTTTTTTAAGAATATAAATTTTTGTTTAAGAATATTTTTTCAGGAATATATTTTTAGAGACCTTCTGACTTAAAATCGTTGCTTTTTTAAATCCAGGATTTTTTGGGACAATTTTCCAGTATCTCTTGAACGAATATCGAAAATTATGATTTTTAAAGAAAAAGATTTCAACGATTTTCGCACCAAACATTGTAGATTATTGCAAAAAATATTACAGACCTCCTGAGTAAAAATCGTTGATATTTTGCATTATTTTTTGCAGAAAATAGGAATTCCAGACCAAAATTCTCGGATCAAATATTTCAAAATGAGTTTTTTAAGAAAATAATTTCAATGAACCCTGACTAAAAACCGAGAGGTTTTAATAAAATATTTTCATGGAACTCCTGATCGAAAAGTGGACCTCCTAGACCAATTGAATCTTGAACCAACGCTAAAATATAGACCGGTTTTTAAATAAAATATTTCCAAGAAATTGCAAATCAGAAATTGTGATTGTTTTAAGAAAAAAGTGTCAACGACCCCTGATCAATGATCAAAAATTGGACCGACATGACCCATATTTTTTAACAACGTTACTTCATGTATCCAATGCTCTCTATAAATCTAAAAACCTCTATATTAAATTTTGCAAAATATATCTCAAAATATTTGGGTCTCTTTGTATATTTGTATATGAAAATTGTCCCAAGGCTACATAAGGGTCTTAACAAAGTTTGGCCTGAGAACCCAAAACCGTTTTAGGATTTTGCAATCACATCCACTTGGAATTTTTCACAATCCGCACTGGCTATTCGACGATGAAACAATAAGAAAATTAGCAGCAAATTCAGACTTGAGAGTTAAAATTCTCCACCAACATGGTCCTCGTATTGTTGGTAGTAATATTGCTGAAGACACTATATATTTAAAATCTTAATCCTAATGTTTCAAAAATGTGGTAGAGAAGGAAACTGACCCCTCTATTTAGGTTAGTTTGTCCCAAAACAAAACCATGTGTCTCTATTTTTAGCCATTTCTAACAATTTAATATAAATAAACCAATTTTTCCATGTTCAAAATTTCTCTAAAAAATTCCATATTTTTCCTTCCCAATACAGGGTCACGATACCACAGCAGCCGGTTCCAGTTTCGCCCTTTGTATGCTGGGCATTCATCAGGATGTGCAGCAGCGTGTCTTCGAGGAGCAACAGGCCATTTTTGGTGATGATCTCAATCGTGATTGCACATTCGCCGATACCTTACAAATGTCCTATTTGGAACGGGTTATTTGCGAGACACTGCGTTTGTTCCCACCAGTCCCCTTGATTGCCCGTAAAGCGGAAGAGGATGTAAATCTGAAATCTGGACCCTATACCATCGCCAAGGGTACCACTGTGGTGCTGCTACAATACTTTGTTCATCGTCGTGCCGACATCTATCCCGATCCTGAGAAATTCAATCCCGACAATTTCTTGCCCGAGCGTACTGCTAATCGTCATTATTACGCTTACATCCCGTTCAGTGCTGGACCACGTAGTTGTGTTGGCCGTAAATTTGCCATGTTGCAACTGAAGGTGTTGCTTTCGACCATCATACGCAACTATCGCGTTAGCTCCACCCGCACCCAAAAGGACTTCCAATTGCAGGGTGATATTATTTTGAAAATGGCCAATGGTTTCAACATCACCTTAGAGAAGAGACCCACAGCTAAGGTTTGAGGATTTGCTTATGGCAATGGATTAACTCGATTCTGCAATGGATGGCTTAAATCTACTTAGGTTGAACTGTCTGTAGTGATTTATTCTTGAAGTTTTTCCAACTAACCCCCCATTCAAAACATACTAATTTTTGCGAACGATATCGTGTACTTTGATATATTGCAAAAGTTTTTTTTTTTTGAAGTTATTATCCTTATTATCATTTGTTAACAACTTTACATTTTACATTATTTTACTAACCCCAACATGCAACTTAAAAAATGTTTCCATGCGAATACAAAAAAAAAAAAAAAAAATTAAATAAATATCTGGGCATGCACAGTACAAAACTGTCAAAAAAAAATTGAGGTACTCATAGAATTATTTAATTCTGAGTTCTGGAAAGCACTATATGATACCCTACACCACCATGCGTATATAGTAGAACTCCCGTAAGAAAAAACTTTTATGTTGGTTTTTTATGAAATAGATCATACCAACTGTGAATGCGTATCATGGCTTTAGGGTAATCACAATTTTGGAACTATTTCCAAATTTGAATATATTTTTAACAAATTTGATATAGGCTTTTGTACCTCTAGTACCAAATAACACTACTGTATAGTGCATGATATGACTTCAATAAGAATTATATAAAAAATGTTTATAATGGAGCAATAGATATACCGGACCGAATTTCATAAAATGTAAAAATTCGACTGAACATAAAAAATCTATCCAATTTGAATAGATATTACATATACGATGGACAATAACCGTAAGAGCGGATGAAGATGTATATCGAAGGAATATACAAATCTAAACTAATTTCGATAAAATTTGGCAGAGGTATTTAGCTGTATCTTCCGATGTTTTTTTGGCTGTAATTAAAAACAAGTAAAAAAACATTAAGTTCGGCCGGGCCGAATTTTTAATACCCTCCACCTTAGGGTAATGGAAATCATAAAAATACCAAATTTCGGGAGGTACCGCTATATAGGGCTATACAAAAACGTGGACCTATACATGCAAAGTTTCGCCACCGGAGCTAGAACCAATTATAACCAACAAATACATATTTTTAGACAAATCCATGAAAAAATCCGGCAAAAATCATCAAAATACCGAATATAGGGATGTACCGTTATATAGGGACTATACCAAAACGTGGACCGATATATCTCATTTTCAATACCAACTATCCTAGACGTAATACAAATTATTCTGCTAAATTTTGAAGCTCTACGTCAAATAATGTGGGCTGTATCGTGATTTCCAGAGACAGACGGACAGACGGACATCGTTAAATCGTCTTAGTTTTTTTAATTTTACGCTGATTATGAATATATATACATTATGGGGTCTACGACGAATATTTAGAGATGTTACAAACGGAATGACAAAGTTAGTATAACCTCCTTTCCAAGGTGGAGGGTATAAAAAAGAAAAACTTTGATTCTTCTTGTCGATTATTTTTATTTGGTCTTACATTAAGTCGAGAATATGATGTCATGTAAATGGCCGCCGCCACAGTTTATTGCCCTTTTACTGTCATTTTCTACAACTTTGGCCTAAACTTCCGGAGATAGGTCGTCACATTCTTGAGGATATTGTTTTTAAGAGCTGAAAGAGCCTATAACTTATTAACATAAGCCAGCGGCTTCAAAAAGCCTCACAAAAAGAAGTCTGGAGCGGTCAAATCAGGTGATCAGGCAGGTCAGGGCAAATGGCCAAAACGGGAAATGCATCCTTTAGCATCTCGTTTGTGGCACGTGCAGTGTGTGCTGTTGCACCATTCTTTTGCAACCACATGTTTTACAATCCTAACTCATCAAGTTGAGGCAAAAAGAATTCACAGCAACAGTTTGGCCTCGACGTATTCGAAGAAACAAGGTCCGAAAACTCCTCGGGTGAACGGGTGTAATGACTCTTCGTGGGTTACACGCGGACTTTCAGTGCCAGAAGCGTACATTTTGCTTATTTACGTAACCGCTAAGATGGAAATGGGCCTCATCACTCATGATTATTTTTTGATAAAAATCATCTTTTTCTTGGTGGTTAAGCCACTTTGGTGAGCCGCCAAAGTGTTTTGGTCCGATTTCAAAGAATGGCTAAGGACTCCGTTTAAAGGGGATCGTAGCAATTCAAAATATTCTGCAAATTTGTTTATACCCTACAACACTATGTGTTGGGGGTATTATAAGTTTGATTGGGCCAAAAATTATGTAACGCCACGAAATATTGATTTCCCACATAGGAAAGTATATATGGATCTTCCTATCTCGCCGAGCTGAGTCGATCTAGCTATGAATGTCCGTCCGTCTGTCCATGTTAATTTGTAATCACAGGTCGTAATTATGGCCCGATCTTCACGAAATTTAGAATGGAGGTGGGGTTAAGGTCAGAATAGAACCCTATTTCTTTTGGAGATGATCGCATAATATTTAGGGGTCGAAATGGACCAAAAACTGAAAAAACTGAAAAAAAAAACTGAAATGATTTTGTAGTTGCTCTACAGGTTGCAATTGTGGACCAATCGACGCCGAAGTCGGCATGGGGCTAGAGCTTGGGGCTGGGCAGAAGTCTTCCAATTTTGATGGTCATCGGGTAATATTTAGTGGGTAAAATAGACCATAACATTTGTGTTAAATAAAAGTCAAATTTTTCATTAAACCGCGATTTTAGTCCCTGCGGAATCACAAATAGACGAACAGGCCAATTCTGACCGTTACGTAGATGCCGATAGTAAATATATCGGATATATATAGCGAAATATATACAATGCATATATACAAAGGAAGGGGATGTTAGCTAGAATGCTTATATCTCAAGAATGGCTGGACAGATTTTGACAAATTTTATAAATTCTGAATGCAGTCCTGGCATAAAAGAAAAAGATCTGAAAAATCGCATAAAAAGATGCCAATAATGATGATAATATAGATTTTGTTGTATATTGTGGCATATTTTTTTATTTTTTCATATTTTTTATCGCATGCGATTTTTTCAATTTGACTTATAATATTGAGGTGTATGTTTTGTAATATTTTTCTGGGCAGGGCACCATGACATTATTTCAAAAGCGAAATCTTCCAAAATGGGTTTGGACATAAGAGGGCTTCTAACATGTTGTAGTGTTGTAGGGTATCACATAGTCGGCCCCGCACGACTATAGCCTTTGCTTACTTGTTTTATCTCTGAGGTTATTCTTCTTAAATTATGTTTGGTAAAAGAATTTTTCATAACTTAACGTAAAGCCATATAAATTTATTTTTCACATGTCATTTTATAAAATTTGGGAAAGTAAATGCATGATATTTCTTATTTATTTCATTTCTTTGGAGAATATTAGATTTCACTTTTCACATATGAAACTAGTCCACATGATCAACATAACTCTCACCCTCTAAATCTAGGAGGATCTTCTTTAATTACAATCCCATAGATTTGTCTCATTTCAGATCATCTCCCATTTACCTGTCTCAAAAGAAAATCCATGAAAATTTGATATTTTCAACTCTGGTAAAAGGACACCCTTGCTTTCATATTACATCGCTACCTAGCACATACTACCATAAAATCAAATTACATTTAGGGTTATGGGAATCCTTCGAAATTGTGTGTGTTTGTATTTACTCTCCCTCTCATCGCAGAGTGTTTACCTTCACTTTCATATTTTTGGCAAACATTATCCTTTCCATCGCCATCATCAGCTGTATCGAATTTCAAAATAGTTGGCAATAAAAATTGAAATTCCATTCGGTTTCTTTCTTGTTATGGTAGAGAAATGCGATCAATAATTGTTACCCTTTCATTTTCGTTTTTCTTCGATAGAAGGAAAAAAGAACATATTATGAAATACAACCTGTTTTATTGTAATTTAATATACTTCCTTCCTAATCCTGTTTGAGGTAGCAAAGAAAATTGGATCTTTGGTGTTAACAAAAAACCAACCGGAAGGAAATAAATATTTTGTTGCGCATTTCGGCATTTGTCTGTTTCCTTTAAAGGATTAAATTCTTTTCATGATACTTTTGCAAACTATTTCGCAAATATTATATTTATTCGTATATATAAAGGTCGGTATGGATCAAAAGAGAAAAAGGATTGAAAGTGAATTTTGAGATTTGAAGGTGTTACAGAAAAAGAAGAGGAAATATTTCAGAAGTAATGGAAAATTACTGTGCTACTTATCAATATTCAGTACGGAAAACAAATAAATTTTTATATGAGCAATATCGCCAAAATAATTTAATTAGGGGGGCAAGTTCCCCTACCCCTCTCTTCCATATTATTTGAATTTATCGGATTACGAATCCTTGGAATCTGTTGATTTTAGGTCATAGAATATATTATATAAAATATTGGCAATATTGCCAATAATAATACGAGTATTATTTTGATGTAAAATTTTAATCCTCAAGTGAGTCAACAAGGGAGCCTTTTTGGTCCGTTTTTGAAAAATGGTTAAAAACTCCATTTAAACCTCGGAACAACATTAATTTCTAATATAGGTCCCAGAGGAAGTTAGAAGTCTAAACGGTGGAAATTAAAAAAAAAAAAAAATATTAAAAACACTTTTTAGGGTTAAAGCCGTACTCGGTCTGATGAGGATTTGTGACTCTTTCCGATACATAGGTATTCCCTGCCTTACCCCCTGGAAACATTACCATTCTTCTCCACTATTAAACAAACGTTGTTTCTATAAAAAATAATTGGGTAAAATTTTGTAATCAAAACTACATACATCGAGCTAATAACAAATATTTGGCAATTTAAAACAAGTAAAAAAGCTGTTGAATACCCTCCACCATTTCGAAAGAATTTTGTAATTTAAAAAATAAATAAAATCCGTTAAACATACCGAATGTGGCCGTTGTATTAACGAAATTTAAAAAAAATCATTAAAATATCGAATATCGATATTATTATAAAATATATATATTTTAAACAATTTCGGTAAATAATGTCGCTAAAATCACAAAAATACCGAATATTGGGAGGTGCTGTTATATGGGGGCTATACCAAAACGTGGACCGATATATCTCATTTTCAATACCAACCATCCTAGACACAATACAAATTATTCTGCTAAATTTTGAGGCTTGGGCAGTTGACATCTTATTCTCAGCTAAATCTTAAAGCAGTAAATTAGTATCACTTTTAATTTTATCCATCACGT